TTGATTAGTCTTTTTACATGTGTAAAGAATACTCGGGCACCCAGGGGAAACTTCCACAGACTTTCTGGATTATAGGATATCACCCTTTCTATGTAACAAAAGTATTAGTATTTGGAAAACCAAGCTACAACATATGAAGTGTATTAAGAACGATGGTCTCCCCAGAATCCACATGAGCTTTCCCCATCTTCGCTTGTTTTTCTAAAGATAAAAACCATTCAGCAGTGTTCGTAGTGGGATCTAGCAAGTGCTCATGCTTGCATAACAACATTTCACTTTGGCCGTCTCAACTTTGTTATATGTAAATAATGTTGTAAGTAATCCTTGAAACGGTATAATATGTGCAACCACTGTTTATTTTTTTAATACTTCCCAGTATTTCATTATTTATTTTAAATGTGATTTATGATTGATTGATGGATGTTTGACATGCAAAATAACGTATTCCCAGGAACTCTAGGGAAGACAGAAGGATGCATGGGAGTCTCACAACTCCTTCCCTTGAGCAGAGAGCTGGGCTCACTTACGCAATTGAAAAACCCAAACAGGAAATTAATTGTTAGCTAAGCAGGTATTTAAATGATGCACGCCCATCCTGAAACTCAGATCTTCTCCTGATGGAGTTCCATAGCCTTTTGAAAGCATATTAGATCGCTTCATTATCATTTGATTTCATGAAAAGGAAAATGACATGTTGCTTCTCACTCCACTGCGTGGACAGTCCAAAGCCCTTCAAATGCTCATAAAGGTCACAGTGCCCAAGTTTAATGTCTTGGATGTGGAAAGAGATATTGTAAGGGATCATACTGACTTGCATGAACTTTAAAATGTTGTCAAATCGCTCAGAGGTTATATCTTAGATGCAGCATTAAAATAGAAACAGACAAATAAAACCATATGTTGAAATGTGATGTTCGATTTGTGTATCAAAAACACGTGGGTTTTTTTCCCCTTGTATCCAACTTTCTCATGAATCACTGGAGTTTCAAATCATCTAGTACACTGTTCTTCCTCTATATTTTCTGTAGGACAGCCTCAAGCAATGGAGTAAGTAATAATCATAAAATTTTAATGAATACCGAAGCCAGTTTTCCTTCTGGTTGTTAGGAGCTTGGACTTTTTAAACTATGGAAAGCTAGACAGAGTTTAAGTTTCATGGAGTGTAAAGGCAGACCCTGTACTTCTGGTACCTCATCATAAACTCATATCTTCAGGGGCTTCTCTTGGTATGTAAAATTGTAATTTAGTTTAAGATGTTGGGAAGTTATGTTTAATAAGAACATCTGGACATTGCCACACATCATTCATATTGGTAAATTGCATGGATAGATGATTTCCTTCTAATATAAAATGTCAAATTAATCTGCATTGGGAATTCCAGTACAGGCAGGGGGGGCCTTGGCTGTATCACTCGAGTCTGTTTTGATAGCATCCCAAATGCCACTGTTTTTATATTGAAAGCAAACTTGATATGCTTTTGAGGTAAGATACCTATCGCCACTGGACTGCATGTGAGAAATGTTGGAGAGGGATGAATTGGCACTGCTGTACCCAGTGATGCTTCAGAATTTCTGTCACCAAATTTGTCTTTTAACAATTGTATGGATTTTTCATAAATTTCATGTAAGACTAATAAATTACGGATTTCATAAAATTTTTATAAATTTTGGTAAAGGAAGAGATGACTTAAGTTTCTTCTAGGAATGGCGATTCACCTGGCAGACCCAGTCGTAGTGTAGTAAATTGATTTGACCAATACAGGTTGAATATCCCTAATCCAAGATTTTGAAACAGTTTCAAAAGAAAGTGTCAGATTTCAGATTTTTGAACTGGGGATGCTCAACTGGTATTCTGCAAATATGCCAAACTTCAAATTAATCTGAAATCTGAATGCTTCTGGTCCCAAGTATTTCATATGAGGGATACTCAATCTGTTATATAGTCAGATTATACTAATTTGAAAGGGTGGAAAATAATGCTCTTAAATTTTTTTTTATTAAAATGTGATTAAAAAAAAATAAGGGTATCAAAATTCTTAGAAGACCTTATCTAACCTATATGAAAGTTCTGATGATTTGACAAGGTGGAACTTGTTTCGAGACACAGATAATGTCTAATTTCCCAAGTAAGTGGTTTCTGCTCCTTTCTCCACCACGATGTGTTCACACAGGTGATATGGTGGGTGTAGGTGACATGCAGTTCCCAGTTCATAGACCATGTTTAACTCAGTTTCTCTTCCTAGAAAGCATGCCCAAACACACATGAGTGAGAACAATGTTGTGGTAGGAATAACCTTGAATCTTATTTTTTAGTTACAAAGAAATACTTCTTAAAAATGATAATTTAACCTTTATAGTCAAAATATCTTGGAGTATATTCTTGAGATTTGCATATCCACTGTGCCCTGGTTAATTCTCAGCCTCTCATGTATGACATGGAAGTGGTGAAGGCAAGGAAAGGGGAAATTAATGGGAGCAGGAGACAAAGGAGGGACAAAGGGACAGTAGCTCCAGCAGAAATGCCAACACTGTGCTATTTTACATAAAATGTAGAGACTGTTTAACCATTTAGGTCCATTTATCCATCTGCCATTTTTTCCTACATTGTCATATTTATTGCAACTACATGCATTATAAACCTTGCAAGACAATGTATGTTGTTATTTCTGCTTTAAGAAATTAAGAGCAAGTCTTTGCTGTAATAAACATATGTGTTCATGTGTCTTTACAGTAGAATGATTTACAATCCTTAACATATATATCCAGTATTGGGATTGCTGGGTCAAACGGTGTTTCTGTTTCTAGATCCTTAAGGAATCACCACACTGTCTTCCACAAGGGTTAAACTAATTCATATTCTCAGCAACAGTGTAAAAGCATTCTATTTCTTCACATCCTCTCCAGCATCCGTTGTTTCCTAACTTTAATAATCGCCATTCTAACTGGCCTACACTATGGAATACTATGCAGCCATAAAAAAGAATGAGTTCATGTCCTTTGCGGGGACATGGATGAAGCTGGAAACCATTCTCAGCAAACTAATACAGGAACAGAAAACCAAATACCGCATGTTCTCACTCATAGGGAGTTGTACAATTAGAACACATGGACCAGGAAGGGGAATGTCACACACCGGGGCTTATTGGAGGATGGCAGTGCTAAGGGACGGAGAGCACTAGGGAACATACTTATGCATACGGGGCCTAAAATCCACATGACAGGTTGATTGGTACAGCAAACCACCATGGCACATGTATACCTATGTAACAAATCTGCATGTTCTGCACACGTATCCCAGAACTTAAAAAAATTCTCTGTGTGTACTCAGATAGTTACTGTTTATAATGCTCTTTACTCCTTCCTAAAGATGCAGATTTGCCCCTAGTGTCATCTCCTGTTAGCCTGGAGAACTCCCTTAGTGCAGGTCTGCTGGCAATGAATTTTTCATTTTTTTAAAGCTGAAATGTCTTCATTTTTTAAAGCTGAAATGTCTTCTTGAAGGGTATTTTCATTGGATATTCTGGGTTGAACAAGATTGTTTTCTGAGCACTCAAAAGATGTCATATCACTGTCTTCTGGTTACTGTAGTTTTCTGATGAGAGGTTTGTGGTAATTAAAATCATCCTTTCCCTGTATATAACGTTTAATTTTTCTCTGCTTCCAGGAGTTTCTCTTTAGGTCTCAGCAACATCACTCTGACATCTCTGGGCATTTTGTGTATGTGTGTAGTTAACCTGTTGGGGGTTTGCCAAACTTATTTAATCTGTAAATTTATATCTTTAACTAAACTCTGGAAGTTTTCAGCCATTGTTTTTTCAAATATATTTTTCTGCTCCATTTACTGTCTCCTCTCCCTCTGGAACTCCAAGTACCAGACCTTAGACCTCTAATATTAGATTTCAAATGAATGAAATCTCTATTCATTTTTTAAAGTCTTTCTTTCTCTTTCCTTCAGACTGGATAATTTTCATTTATTTTCAAATTCACAAATTCTTTCCTGCATTATTTCTCCATTCTTCTGTCAGCACATCCAGAAGGATGTTTAAAAATGTCAGGTCTGTTTGTCAGTTCTGTCATTTCTGTCTTGTTCTTTTAGCAGTTCCTCTGCTGAGATTTCCTGTTTTGTTCATTACAGGTATATTTTCCTTTATGTAATTGAACAGTTAAATAGCTACCTTAAAGTCTGATAATTCCAACATGTGGGTTATCTTGGAGATTGTCAGCATTGATTGTCCTCACTTTGAAAATGGGTCACATTTGTACATGTTATGTTGTGGACAGCCTGCATCTTGCTGTATTCATTCAGAGAGTGTGGATTTTTTCTTCTAGCAGGTAGCTAACTTGGTTAAATTAACTTGGTTAGAGTGGAGTAGGTTTGAAATATTTGTTAGGAATGAGCTGTTTGCTCTATTTTCTTTTCAGGTCATTTAGGTACCTTTCAGTTTCTTATATGGTACAAGTGTTTTAAAAAAAAAAAAAAGTCACTCAAATGAGAATCAGTATGCTTAGCTTCCAGTCTCAGTCTTAATAATAGTTGGCTACCTAATCACCTTTATGTTACAGTTAGCAATCATTATGTTATAATTAGCCAAGTATTGTTATTATGATTAGTTAATTGTTATAATAAACAGTTTGTATCTCTCTGGCCTGTAGAATGAGAGGCCTGGTCAACCTTAAAGGTCCTTTTCTTATTAATATTTTACAGTCCTTTCATTGCTTAATTTAAGGTACTTTGGAGTCTGAGTTAATTTATTTCATAGGATTCAAAATGTTGATTTCATATATTATGTGGCAGAAAGAATATCCCGGTATTAGAAGATGTGGTCATGTGTGATTGATATTTTTCTTTTAATCTCAGATTACCTTAAAAATATTACACACCTAATTTGATTTAGGCCTCAGTGTTTCCTGGGCACAAGTTATTTCATTCAAAAAACAATAATTGAAAAGAGTTTTATTTTTAACCTAATACTCTATTTTAAATGTTTGTTTGTCTCTTAGGAAAAAGTGCTGCAAAGGGTATAAATTTGTTCTTGGACAATGCATCCCAGAAGGTATGTAATATAAAAAGATACGGTCTCACTTTATTCACAGCTAATCATTAGAAGTCTCAACTTGAGATGTTCATGGAATATAGGTGTTATCTGTGTCTGATTATCTGTGCATATGTGTATTTTTTTGGCATTAAATTTTTCTGATGCCAATTTTGTTATATGTAGTGTGCAGTGTCTGAATCATTACATGATGTGTTTGCACACATTGAGTGATTCTTATATAGTATTTTGGGTTTATGGTTAATGGGCTGTAATCCCCCAGTTAGCATTTTATACACAGTTAGAACCAACCCTCCTCCCTTGGCCTCTCTCCCTGCTTTTCACCTGCTAAATTTTAAGTCCCTTTACATGACCACCAGCAAACACTCCCTGAGGGTTCAACCCAGCACTGAAGACACAGAGCAAAGTAAGGCAGGGACCCAGCTCTCAAGTTACATGCATTCAAATTGAGGAGCCAGAATGGGGAACAGATAGAATCGATAGACCGGGATTTTAATCACGCTTCTCCATCCTATTAATAGCTGTGACCTTAGCCAGGTTACTTTCTAACCCTTAGTTCTTTGAGGCAAATGTTAGTATGTGGGTCATGCGACGGTTTTAGGAATTTTGCCACATGTCGGGCACTTGGCACAGAGGCTGGTTCTTATTACTGCTTGATAAATGGTGACTGTGGTTATTGCTGCTGTTGTCATTGCTAATAATAACTGCAATATGTGCAATAGAGACATTCAAAGAGGAAGTGCTCAGAAGGGGCACATTGCACAGAGGCCCAGGGCAGTCAAAGAGGGTCTTGGAAATGAGAGGAGAAGTCAGACCATGTTATCAAGGAAGACTGCCCAGGACTTAATCAAATAGAAAGTAGAAGGCTGCAGAGGGTTCTGGGCAGAGCCCTGACACAGCACTAAAGATTATTTGTGTGAAGGGCATGGGGTTAGTTTGTCCAGGGCTGGGGTGAGGTGGGGGGGTAAGGGGGAGCGTTAAACAGTTTTCTTCACCTTTGCCCAAGAAGCCAGATCTCTATAGAAGATCTAGAGCCCAGCCAAGCTAAATCTGTTGCATTATCTCATAGAACACAATTTTTGATCAGTTAGAACTAGATTAATCCTGTGGAGCACAGTGGCTCCCAGCACTTTGGGAGTCCTAGGCAGGTGGATCAGAAGGTCAAGAGATCAAGACCATCCTGGCCAATGTGGTGAAACCCTGTCTTTACTAAAAATACAAAAATTAGCTGGGCATGATGGCACGCACCTGTAATCCCAGCGACTCAGGAGGCTGAGACAGATGCAGTCGCATGAGTCCAGGAAGTGGAGGTGGCAGTGAGCCGAGATCATGCCACTGGTCTCCAGCCTGGTGACAGAGCAAGACTCCATCTCAAAAGAGAAAGAAAGAAATAGATGAATCCCTCCCGTTTATTGCTGTTTTCAGTGGAAGTATGGCACAGTTCATTGAACCATAGCTGTGCCCTTTGAGCAAGCTGCCGTAGGAAGGCTGGCTGGGAAGTCGCTCCACGTGTGATGGTTGATGTGGTCTTGGGTTTCTCTAAGTTGAATTTGTCTCTGCCAGCCAATTCTGTTGGTTCTAGCATGATGGATAAACCCACAAAAGTCACAATTGCATTTCTTTCTATACCAGCTTTTCTCAGTCACCAGCTGTGTCCTTTATGTTGCAGTTTGGCCAACTGCAAAGAAAGCTAAGTTTAGGCCCCGTGGTTTAAGATCTTATCTAAAGACCTTGCCAAACTGAATTGAAAACACATTACATGGATACCACATACTTAGAGTTTCTTTCAGTGTTAGTGGTTTCAAACCTCTAGGCCTTAAAACTAGTCTTCCTCATCCTAAAGTGAGACTGTAGCACCTGTAATTAACATAACCCAGAACTGAGTATTTTCAGGAAAAGTGGTCACAAACGCTGAAAGCCGCTTGGCCAGAGCTAATTCTATGCTCTGTTGCTTTCTGCTAGAACACTTTTTACAGAAGACTTGAAGCCTTGTTTTAATCTGTGGGGAAAAGTCAGTGATGGTTTCTTTTACTAAGGATATCTTTAGTAATAAAGGTTTTTATTATCAGAGAATGCAAAATACAAGTGCAGATTTCAGAAAATATTGTATATTAGGGTTCTCCAGAGAAATAGAACCAGTTTGGATTTTGATTTTCTATATATGGAGAGAGAGGGAGAGACTGAGACTGGGTGAGAGATTGAGACTTTTTTTAAGGATTGGCTCATGAGATTGTGGAGATGCAAGTCCAGAATCTTCAGTGCAGGCTGGCAGGCAAGAGATCCAGGGAGGAGTTGCAGTTGGAGTCTGCAGGCCAGAAGTCCTCCTTAGATTGGCAGGGTGGGGGAGGGGCTGTCAGGTTTTTTCTATTAAGAGCTTCACCTGCTTGGATGAGGCCCACCTCCATTACACAGGGTCTTCTGATTTACTCAAAGTCTACCAATTTCAGTGTTAATCTCATCTAAAATATACCTTCACAGAAAAATCTAGAATAATGTTTGACCTACTATTTGGATACTTTGGCCTAGCCAAGATGACACATAAAATTAACTGTCATAAATCTACCCCTTGTCAACTTGGCACTCATATGCATTGCCTTTAACCATACCTCATCTCCAGAAAAAGGCAGAAGCAAAGTTGTATGTTCATGTGACATGCTACAACTATCCTGCATGAAAACACACTCGCCCTCTCCCCAGAAGAGGGTACAAGTGCTGGGGCACTGGACTTCTCCAGCATCTCCTCGATATGCTTTAATATAAATACTGTGATGTAAATTAACAGTGTTTAAATACTGTGATATAAATCACTACATCTTATGAAATAATAAGAGGACAAAAGGAAGAAAACAAAGAATGGCATGCACGTGCGTGTGTGCACACACAGACACACATAGAAACACACAGAGACACACAGACACACAGACACACACATCCATGGAAAGGTAAGGAAGAAATACTCGTGACAATTTACAGTGCTTTTTTCTATAACTTGTCACATGGTCATAGCTGATATATGTAACCTGCTGCCTTCTACTACTCAACTCATATTCCCGTTGCCCTCAGCAAGCACCTCACCTGATCATGGTTCTTTCTCTACCTGATAAGGTGACCCACACCTTCATTCCTGAAGGATCTGAGACATTAGCCCTGCCTGAATTGGGTTGTCGCCTTCTGTTGACTTTTTAATCACAGGGTGTGGCAATACTAAGGGGCCACCCAAGGTGTTTCTGGTGTTCCAGAAATTCTTCCTTCCCTCTGTTGTGGGGTGACAGTACAATCTGCCCTTGGTAGCCAGGATCAGTCACCCCAGCTAGCACAATAACTCCCTTTTTGCCTGCTGATGCAGAGACCTAAGGAGACCAAAGTGGCCAGGTGGTGGCATCTTAATTTTCAGTTCGATGGACTCATTTTTGCCTCTGTTGCTGGAAGCATTCCTCCCTTTGGAACTAAGCCCTCTAGCCCAGTGTAACATAAAGTTACAGGAACAGGAAGAAAAATGTTGCTCATGGATCAGTAGGTGTAACTGTGTGTGGTGCCACTCCCACTTCCACTCCTTGATTCTGAGACCTGTGAATCCTGGTGATGGGAGAAACCACACCATATGTTGGATACTGACTCAGAGTATGTACATCCTCCTGGTGAACCTTGCTCCAGACTAAATAGCTGGGTACCGTGGCCTAGCCAAGTTGACATGTAGCATTAACCATCACAGATGGCAAAAAGAAACTAGGGTATCTAAAGAAATATGTTAACTAGTAGGTGGAAGCTACAGCTTTTAAGTGTTGTTGCCTCATATTTGCTGCTCTAAGTCAGGACTCAGTGAACTACGGCCTGTGCGCCAATTCTGATCCTGTAAATAAAGGTTATTGGAACACAGTCAAACCTATTAAGTATTATCTGTGGCTTCTTTCCCACTACAGCAAAACTACAGCAGAGTTGAGTAGTTGTAAAAGAGATCTACAAAGCCAGAATACCATCTGGCCCCTTAAGAGAAGTTTGCTGACCCCTGTTGGAAATGATGTCTTGATTGGCCAGGTGATAGGATGATCTGATTTGTTCTAGTTCAGCAATTACTAATTCAGCATAAACCGTGGGAAAAGAGCAGTGCCGGTTACTCCAGGGGACATGCTCCCTGCCAGGTAGATGAGCAGTCATAAGAACCAGCAGCAAAAGAAGCAGAAGAATAGGTAAAGCTTTTATTGTGCATCGGGCATGGTGCTTAATGGCACCATCCAATTTAATCTTCCTAAAAAGCACCATGAAGTGTGGGTATTATTCTCTTTATTTTGTAGGAGAGGAAGCTGAGGCTTAAGGAACCCAAGATCATAGAGACAGTGGCAGAGACAGTATTATAAAAGGGCTGGAGGAGTTGGTTGGACGTTGCAAGAGGTAAAAACAGAATAAACGAAAGTGTGGAGGTGAGAAGGCAAGGATGTGAATAGGGATGATGGAAAAGAGAATTGAGTTGTGCTGCAATGTAAGGAACTTACAGGTAAGTCTCAAGGTTAGAAAAGGCTCAAGGGATGTAAAGCCAGACCTTAAACACAAGAGTGAACCATTTACATTTCATGTTAATTCGTAGCAAGTGTAAAGGTTTTTAAACAAGGGGATGGCATACACAGCACTACGCTTTGGGAAGGTTAGCCTGACAGTGTTATCCCAAATGGTTTTAAAAGCTAAAAATCTTAGGATGGAGATCCTGTTTACCAGGGAGGTTCTGAAGGTCTGGGTGAGAATGGTACCAAAAGAAATAGGACGGAGAGGATAGAACGTAGATAAATTATAAAGATAAAAGCTACATGACTGAAAGCTGATAGGCTCTGGGAAACGAGCATCAGAAATGGAGTGTTGAATAAATTCATTAATCCTGCCTCCTCCAGAAAACACACAAAATGGGCAGGGCAGGAGGAGGTGGTGGGAAGGATTCACAGAAGACGTAAACCCACCAGGACAAAGAACAAGGAAAAGGAGATAATAGCAACAAAACTTCAGGAGCTGGA